AGATGATAAGGGAGTCAGACAACTGGTCAGGAGATTACAGGAGTCCGTTTGCTGGCACCAGAGGCAGAAATCTGTTGCATTGCCCATATGTGGATCTGGGTCAGTCCTAGGTCTCAGTCCCAGGATGGAGGAGGATCACTAGCACACCAGAACTTGTGGCTGCAAGGGAGCTGGGACCCTGGTCACAGTTCCAGGCCAGAAAAGAATGCTTATAGTAGCTCACAGACCAGAGCACAGGCAAGGAGAGTAGTAAACACACCTCTCCTTAGATCATAACACCTTGGAAGAACCAAAAACTTACAGGTACTCAGAATTATCTCTGAGAACAGCTGCATGAAAAACCTGAAGCTTGGGACAGTGCCCCCTCCACTCCAGAAGCAGATCCCCAGTTAAGCTTAGAGTTAAAAGTGAAGAAATAGGCTGGAAAAAATGAGTAAACAGCAGGAAAAGATCTTGACTATAGAAAGTTACAGTGGTGACAGGAAAGTTCAAAACACAATCTCAAAACTGCTACATCCAAAGCCTCAAAGAAAAATATGAATTTGTCTCAAGCCAGGGAAGAGCTCAAAAAAGGATTTTAAAAATCAAGAAAGAGAGTTAGAGGAAAAACTGGGAAGAGGTATGAGAGTGATACAAGAAAATCATGGGAAAAAAAGGCCACAGCTTCATAAAGGAGACACAAAAAAATACGGAAGAAAATAACCCTTTAAAAAACAGAATAGACCAAATGGTAAAAGAGGCACAAAAATCCAATGAAGAAAAGAATGCCTTGAAAATCAGAATTAGTCAAATGGAAAAAGAGGTACAAAAATCCAATGAAGCAAAGAACTCATTCCAAAGGAGAATTGGCCAAATAGAAAAGGAGGTACAAAAGCTCACTGAAGAAAATAATTCCTTAAAAATTAGAATTGGACAAGTGGAAGCTAATGACTCCATGAAACATCAAGAAACAATAAAACAAAATCAAAGAATAAAAAAAATAGAAGAAAAAGTGAAAGATCTCATTGGATAAACAACTGACCTGGAAAATAGATCCAGGAGAGATAATTTAAGAATTATTAGACTTCCTGAAAGCCATTATCCAAAAAAGAGCTTAGATGTCATCTTTCAAGAAATTATCAAGGAAAATAGTCCTGATATTCTAGAACCAAAGGGTAAAATGGAAATTAAAAGAATCCACTGATTACCTCCTGAAAGAAATCCCCAGTTGAAAGCTCCTAGGAATATTATAGCCAAATCCAGAGTTCCCGTCAAGGAGAAAATATTGCAAGCAGCCAAAAAGAAAAAATTCAGATATTGTGGAGCCACAGTCAGGATAACTCAAGACTTAGCAGTTTCGGATATGATAGTGTAGAATATGATGTTGGAGTGAAAAGAGCTGGGATTTCAACCAAGAATCACCAAAAATCAAGAATCAGCAAAACTGAAAATAATCCTTCAAGGGAAAAAAATGGATATTAAATGAAATAGAGGACTCTTAAGCATTCTTGATGAAAAGACCATAGCTGAATAGTAAATTTGACTTTCAAATATAAGACACAACAGAAGCATAAAAAGGTAAACAGGAAAGAAACCATAAGGGATTCAATAAGACTGAACTGTTTATATTTCTACATGGGAAAATGATACTTGTATCTCCTAAACAGAAATAAACAGGCAATTTCTCCTTATTAGATCAGTTAGGAGTCTACATAGACAGAGGGCAAGAGTGTGAGTTGAATATGATGGGATGATAATCTAAAACAAAAAAATAAAATTAAGGGGTGAGAAAGAGGAATGCATGAGGAGAACAGGAAAGGGAGAGGTAGAATGGGGTAAATTATTTAACAAAAAAAAGGTGTGAAACAGATTTTACAGTAGGTCGTAAGATGGGGGAGGCAGGTGAGAGGGAGTGTGTGAACCTTACTCTCATTAGAATTGGCTCAAAGGGGGAACAGCATACATACTCAGTTGGGTATAGAAATCTATCTTACCATATAGGAAAGCAGGAGGGAAAGGAGATAAAGGCAGGGGGGAAGGGGAGCTATGTGTAGGCTAATAGAAAGAATTGGGGGAGGTAAAAGTAAGAAGCAAAACACCTGAGAACAGACATGGTGAAATGAGAGAGAGTAGGATAAATGGGGAGGGATAGAATGGAGGAAAAATACATAGTAATCATAACTGTGAAAAAAATTTTACAGCAGGTTTCTCTGATAAAGGCCTCATTTCTCAAATATACAGAGAACTGAGTCGAATTTATAGAAATAAGAGCCATTCCTCAACTGATAAATGGTTAAACAGGCAATTTTCAGACAAAGCAATAAAAGCTATCTGTAGTCATATGAAAAATGCTCTAAATCACTCTTGATTAGAGAAATGTAAATTAAAACAACTCTGAGCTACCACCCTATCAGATTGGCTAATGTGACAAAAAAAGGAAAATGACAAATATTGGAGAGGATGTGGGAAAATTGAGACACAAATTTACTGTTGGTGAAGTTGTATACTGATTCAGCCATTCTGTAGAGCAATTTGGAACTATGCCCAAAGTGCTATAAAACCATGCATACCTACTCTTTGACCAAGCAATACCACTAGTAGGTCTGTATTCCAAAGAGATAAAAAGCAAAAAGGAAAATGACATATTTGTACAAAAACATAGTTTTTTTAGTGATGTCAATGAATTGGTAATTGAGGGGATGTTTATCAGTTGGAGAATGACTGAACAAGTTGTTGTATATAATTGTGATGGGATACTATTGTGCTGTAAGAAATGATGAGCAGGATGCTCTCAGAAAAACCTGGAAAGACTTAGCTGAACTGATGCGAAGTGAAATGAGCAGAACCAGGAGAACATTATATATAGTAACAACAATATTATGTGATGATCAACTGTGATAGACTTAGCTCTTCTCAGCAATGCAGTGATCCAAGACAATTCTAAAGGACTTATGATAAAAAATGCTATCCATCTCCAGAGAAAGAACTGATGGGGTATCAATGTAGTTCGAATCATACCTTTACTTTATTTTTCTTGTTTTACTTTTTTGTCTGTATTTTCCTTGACATCATGACTAACATGAAAATACGTTTTGCTGTATCAGATTGCTTTCCTTTTTAATGAGGGGGGAGTGGAGGAATTTAGGGAGGGACAGAGTTTGAAACTCAATATTAAAAAAAAATGTTAATTGTTTTCACATGTAATTGGAAGAAAAATAAAATACTAATTTAAAAAAAATTATGTGAAAAATGACAATGATAAAACAATGTCAGAATTTCTGAGTTGAAGCTAAAAGAGCTGTTTACAAACATGTATTAACAAAATAGAAGATAATGACTTGAATATATATTGAAAAAACTAGAAACTTAACAACTAGCCTAAAAAAAGCACAAAAAAAGAGAGGGATTGGAAATTAGGGGAGAAACAGATAAACTGGAAATAAATACTTCAGAAGCTATTAACAAAATTGAAAGCTGGTTCCTTGAAAATACTAACAAGATTGATAAATCTTTAATAAATTTGATTAAAAAGAAGAGTACAGAAACACAAATCACCAAAATAGCAAATGAACATGGTGAAATTACAAGAAAACCATAAGAAATAAAAAATTGTCAGAACCTACTATGCAGTTATATGTTAACAAAACTGAGAACACAAAGAAATGTTACCTTCAAAAATACTTAAAATGGACACTAGCCGTGTGCCCCTGGGCAAGTCACCTAACCCGGATTGCCTCATCCAAAAACAAAACAAAATAAAAATACTTGAACAGAAGATCAAATAGGGATCTTAAATAATTCAGTATCCGAAAAGGAAATAGAACGGGTTGTCGTAAAGGAACTACCAGAGAACAATCTCCTGGTCCTGATGGATTGATTCATAGGACAATTGTATCAAACTCTTAAAAAAAAAAGCTAATACCATTGCTATACCAATTATTCTCAAAAGGTTGAGAAAGAAAGCACTATACCTATACTCCTTTTTAAGAGGCAAATATTGTTCTAATACCTAAGCTAAAGCAAAGGAGAACTGTAGGTGGATATCATTAATCAATATTGATTCAAAACTAACAAAACAGTAATTTATCTAAGAAATCATTCATTATGATCAAGTTGGATTTATATCAAGCATTCAAGGATGGTTCAACATCAGGAAACCAATCACCATAATTGATCATATTTAAAACAAGTAAAGCAACTTTTAAAAAATTTCATGAATGACTGAATGACTGAAAAAGCAATTGTTAAATACTTACCATGTGCCAAACATTGTGCTAAGTACATGTGAAAACAGAAGAGGCTAGACAGTTCCTTCTCTGCAATTGCTCACCCTCTAACCAGGGGAGATGACATATGAAAAAGTTCAACTATGTTAGAAAGTCCTTGAAGTGTTCTATAAGGTTGCAATAGTGGGGGGATGCAAGCTTATGGAAACCATTTGTTTCACACAAAGGAGAATTCACTTTGATATATGTGTGAATTTTTTTAGAAGTAATCATAGTGTTTTGTGAAGGGCATAACTGTTTCTATAATAACAATATAACAGTAATAAATCAAATTTGTATAGTTGCTTAAGGTTTATGAAACACTTTCCCAACAATAGCTCTGTGAGTAGAAAAACTATTTTATCCTCATTTTTACAAATAGCAAAACTGAACCTCTGAAGTGTTGAGTGACGTCACAGAATAAGATTTAGAGCTGTAAGGTGATGTTGGAAGTCATCTAGTTCAATAAGGGTCCAGTAATGAGGGTCACAAAGCTCATGCTTGTCTCAGATGAAATTCAAACCTAGGTCTCCTGACTTCAAGTTTTTCTACCATGTAGTATGCTGCCTCTCGGGAAAACAAAAACAAAGAGTCATCTTCCAAGCTAATAACAACATGAGCGGGGAATAATGGTAGAATAATATTTATATGTTTGCACATATAAAGAATTTTAACATTAGAAGAGACTTTAGAGAACATCTAGTCTAATTCTATTGAAATACTGAGTATTTCCTGCTTGTTTCTCTCTCTTTGTAGAACATGTATTGAGTCATCTGGAACAAATCAAAGGCATGCCTCCAGCCAGCCATAATGAAATAGCTCCAGATAAAGAAATAGAGGTACTTCCTAAGGATACACCTGTTGTTTCTGAAAGTGGCAGTGCCAACAGAGAACCAAAGAAAAAGCCCCGAAGAGGTAAAAAAAACAAAACTTCAAAAGGTGAACAACCTCTTGTCATCATTGAAGAGAAGGAACCAGCAGGTGAGTGGCACTGATCCCTGGGAAATGGTTGCCAATTTGATCATTGGTAGAGTCCCATTTCTTAGGATCAGAGACCTTAAAGATGAAAAGGACTTCAGAGAAATAATTTAATCCATGCTTTCATTTGACAGATAAAAAAAAAAACTGAGGTCCTTAGTAATGTATATAAGGCCATATTTTAAAAAAAAGATTATTCTGGCATTGTTATATAGGGTGATCAGAGTGGATAGAGACTGGAGTCTTGAGATCATTGCAAAAGCACAGGCAATGATGGAGCAGCTAGGTGGCATAGTGGATAGAGCACTGGCCCTGAAGTCAGGAGGACCTGAGTTCAAATCTGGCCACAGACCAAACACTTAACACTTACTGGTGATGTGACCTTGGGCAAGTCACTTAACCCCAATTGCCTCACTCAAAGAAAAAAAAAAGCACAGGTGATAATAATAAACAACACATTTCTTCTGTAAGTTTGTCTTACAAAACACTTTCTTCACAGCAGTACTATGTAGCAAGTAGTAGAAGTATTATTATGGTCATTTTACAAAGAAGAAAACTGATGTTTGGAGACTTTTAAATGACTTGCTAACAGTCTTGCTCTTGCAGCTGTCAGAGACAGGATTTGAACTACAAAAATCTCTGCTGACATCAAATCCAGGGTTCTTCCCACTGGGCATTTCAGCTTCCTATATATGAGGTGATTAGAGCCAAGAAATTATGTATCTTAATTGTGTCTAATAAAATTAGATTTTATTGTTGATCTTATGGTTTTGAAATCTCTTAAAATGAGACCACTGGCCTTCTGTTTACGAAATTCAAGCTCAATAGCCTAATTAGATTTTTTTTTCTGCATAAATTCCACAGTTTCTGAAACTTTCTACCAAAGCTTTTTCTAGCATATTCAACCAATGTACTTTTTAGGAGTTGATTTTCTAGCTTGCACATTACCTAGTCCTCTGGCTTCTTCTTTGTGTAGCCTGTTGTGTGATGGTACTCTTTCATGTATCAGAAAGGAAGATGTGTATAAAGAAGAAAAATATAATAAAATTTACTTTTCACAAAATCTCCGATACTGCAGTTCTATGATTCTATATTTAGTCATTTTCCTAATGTTAACTTGAGTAGAAGATCAAAACTAGTATCTAAAATAAGGTTTGGAAGTTATATTATCTATTCCAGTTTCTATTACCATATATTTTCTAATTTTGAACATTTTTAAAACATCAAAACTACTCAGCTACAAATTTTTATTAATCATCTTAGTACACATTTAGGTATATGTAAAACTCAAAGATTTTACTGGAGTATACATTTTAAATTCTTTTTGGTAGCTTTGAGAAGAAGGATTTGGAATATTTCAACCTTTAAAAACACTTTCATTGTAATTTATATACTTAAGGTCATAATGAATTATGGCAGATATGAAAAAAATAATTTCTTGGTCTTTTGGTTTTATTCTTAAGGATTTAAAATGTAATTTACCTTTATGGCACCTTGGTATGGTAAAAAGAACACTGAATTTGAAGTTAGAAGGCCTAAATTTATAAGGACCTGAGATATTAGGATCATGATCATGGAAAAGTCACAAGACTCTCAGTGTTCCAATTTCTTCATATTTAAAAATATATATATAATAATAATTATATTATTTATTTATAAAGTTGTTATAAGGAAAAGACTTTGTAAGATTTAAAGCACTGGATAAATGTGAGCTACTCGGATACATTATGATCATCATAAACACATAACCAGTTTGAAGGCAAGAACTTAATTTTTCTTTCTTGCATTTCGTACTATCAGGATTCTGCAAGATGACTAATTTGACCTTGAGTGTTTTGTTTTGTTTTGTTTTTAATCCAAACTTACTCTAATTATCACATGATTTTAGTGTGCTTTTCATAAACATTTCTTAGTTTGTTTCAAATATTTTGCCAAATAAATCGTGTTATTTTTACAAATAATTTTTTTTGTTTTTTGTGTATATTATATATGTATATGTAATTTATATTTCTCTTCCCTTGCCCCCACCAGTGGATCAAGTGGCAGAAATTATAACAGAAATCCCACCAGATGAAGACCTTAACTCAACTACAGATGAACGGATTATGGAGCTCGTTTTAGGAAAGCTGCCCAGTACTACAAAAGATATCAGTTCGGTTCCAAAGTAAGTCATTGGTTAAACTTCTTGTTCTACCATGCTGACAGAATAAGATACCTAATAAGAAGTATTGTAATTCCTTTTATTAGATAGGAGGCACTCTTCAAAATGACTTGATGAAAATGGGCCACTTTTATTTAATATTATGGAGGGTTAAATCATGCATTGTTTGACATGTTACAAACATGCTTAAGTCTCCCTATGCAACAAAACCCTTCTGTTGGCCCTTTTATTACTCAGACTATGATTCCATCTCTTTGCCTTTAATTGTCAAAGTTCTTGAAAAAATATTCTGCATTACTTGCCTTTATCTCACCAGTCCTTTTTTCTTCAACCTCTTACATTCTTGCTTCTGTCTCTCCCACATTCTTAAAACTGCCCATTTTTAAGTAACCACTGATTTTCTCCTTGACATATTCAATGGCCTTTTCATAGTTCACATTCTCTTTGACTTTCCTATACCATTTTACATTGCTGATCACTTTCTTCCTTTTGATATATTCTCTATGTCCTTTGTGAGACTACATTCTTATGGTTCTCTTTCTACCTCTGTATCCTCTCTGCCTCCTTCTCTTCCTTCTTTTGCCCTTTCTATATGTAAATATTTGCAGAAGTTTACCTCTGTTCCTTCAATATACTTCCTTCTTGGTGATCTCATTATCTTAGAATTCAGTCAGTTGCAGGAACCTCAAAGGTCATCTTGTCGAAACTGTACCTAAACAATAATATTTTCCATAATAACAAATCCTCAGTCTGATGCCCTGCAATAATGAGAATTAATTACCTCTCAAGTCAGATCACTCCACTTTGGGACAATAACTCTTAATTGTTAGGAAGTTTTTTCCCTTACATTGAGTCTAATCTGTCTTTCTGCTACTTCCTCTTGTTCCTACTCCTGTCTCTTGGTGCCACAAAGAACAATTTTATTCCCTCTCTAGTGAGACATTGCTCCAAATAAGTGAAGACAGTTATCACATTTTTCCTACTTCCCTCTTAAACTTACCTTCTCTCCTTCTGAGTAAATATCCCAAGGTCTTCTATCTAATTCTCATATATCAGGGTTCCCTTGTCCTCTCCCCATCTTAGTTTCTAGCCTCTGAACACATTCCAGTTTGTTGGTTTCTCTTAAAAAAAAATTAGAACTCAGAACTGAGCCCAGTACCTGATAACTGATCTAAGCAAAACTTAGGATATAGAAGTTGCAGCATGAAACAGTTGAAAGAATACTGGGTGAGAATCCAGAAAACCTGGGTTCCAATACCACCTCTGTTATTACTTTTATCATTCTGGACAAATTACTTTATATTTCTAATGCTCAGATTCTTTATTTGTAGAATGAGGGAGGTGAACTCAATAACCTCCAAAGTCTCTTCGAGCTCTAAATCTATACTTCTTTAGTCATATGATTAATTGTTTTCCTCAAATGTTGCACTTCTATTAATTCTGCCTAAGACTGCAATAGCCTTTATCTACTCTATCACATTGTTGATTCACTGAGTTTGGAGTAGACTAAAACCTCCATGTCTTTTTTTTTTTACATGAACTCCTTTCTATTTATGCCTCTTCTATCTTGTATTTGTACTGTTATTTTTTGAAGTATAAGAATATGACTTTATAGTCATTCCTGTTCATTTTTTAAAAATATCTTATTTCTAAAAGATTATTTTATTTAATATGTTTGACCTCTAAACAGCATTTAGTTTGCTAATAAAAAAGACCACCTTAAAGGCACTTGTCCAACAGGCATCTCCCATGCATATATCAAAATTATTTAAGATTCCTTGAAAGGTACAGCAACACACATAAGCCTGTAGACAACTGTCTAATCACTCACCAGCAGGCATAAAACAGGGAGATAAATCTTCACCAGAGTTATTCACTACTGTTATAAAAGCTGTCCCCCACAGCATCCACATTGAAAAGGGATTATTTATGGATGGTAAGGTCCTCCAGTTGCTCTTATTTTTGCATGACATTGTTCAGTCACCCTAGATTTACAGAAACTCCTAAATGAGGTCCATATTCACTCCAAACAATTTGATCTAACAATCCTCACAGAAATAACAAGTTGATAAGGAGAGCTTATTGTACAGATAATGGCATGTAGTTTGAGGGACAATGAGTTTTGTATCCAGAATTAAATAAGAAAATAGCATGCTATATTGATATATTGATGATATATATAATATATTGCTATATGTCTCCTTTGGGAGATTGCAAAGCTCCTTTAAAAGTCCCAAGTGCCTCCCAGAAACAAATAGCCATCCTTTTAATACCAATTTTTATCCTGACGTTATACGACTATAAGCCATGAAACATAATCTCTGAAGAACTGAAAATAGATATCAAGAGTGAAGTAAAGGATGTCATCAAAGAAGTTTATGTATGAAAAAGATGAGCTGGTCATGTTGCAAGTATCAGAGCCTAAATGGCAGAGTAGAAAGAAGTTCAGTGAGCTTCCTCATACTCCCAACTTCTCCAAATATGTCTAGAAAATGAAGCTGACTGAATCCTGATTGGGAAAGGTTGACATCAGGAGAAAGATGAAAAAGTCTGTGGACACTGGCGATGAGTGTTAGCCAGGAGTAGGTCACGTAGAACATTTTGGCTCAGGGAGAATCTGTGTCCCAGGACAAGAAGAGGTCCCAGGTCTAGCATAGAGGAGCCTAAACTTGTAGAGTGTGCAGGAATAGGTTCAACCAGAAGACCTTCATCACCTCACATTTAGACTACTACAGTAGCCTGTCTGTCACACGTCTCTCCTCACTCCATCCATCCTCCATTCAGCCATCAAAGTGATTTTCCTAAAGCCCTGCTGTGACCTGTCTAACTCCATACTCATTAAAGTCTAGAGGTTTCCGATTGCCTCCAGGTTCAATTACAAAATTCTCTCTTTGGCATTCAAAGCCCTTCATAACCATTGCCCTCCACCCCCATTTCTTCTTATACCTTAAACTTCCCACAAACTCTGTACTTCAGTAACATTGGCCTACTTGCTGCTATTCTTCAAATAAGGCATTCCATCTCTTTCCTGGTTTTCCCCATAACTGAAATGCTCCCCCTCCCTCCTCATCTCTGCCTCCTGGTTTGCATGGCTTTCTTCAAGTCTCATCTAAAATCTCATCTTCTACAGGAGGCCTTTCCCAATCCCTCTTAATTTGGATGGCATTTCCCTATTAATTATTTCCAGTTTATCCTGTATAAAGCTTGTTTGTATATATTTGTTTGCATTGAAATCCTTGAGGGCAGGGACTTTTTCTTTTTTTTTTTTTTTTTTGTATCCCTAGCTGAGTATCAGGCCTGGCTCATAGTATGTACTTAATAAATAATTATTGACTAACTGATTGACTGACTCACTATCCAGGTCAGTAATAGATCCAAGGTGGACTAAGGAGGGTATCTTTGCCAAGGGAAAGACAATCTAGAGTAAGAAGAGGTTCCTGGCCCTTTACTATGTACCACGCAAAGAGGAAATTCAAAAGCAAACAACAGCCATGTGGCTTGGACCTGGATGTGGACCTAGAGCTAAGTTCCAACTTCCAACCCAATGTGAAGCTGATAGCAGAATGAACAGGGCAAAAATCCCAGACCAGAGTAGAACCTGCCCAAGTGTCATTCTGAACCAGCTGAGCTTTCCAGCTGCCTGATAGTAGCTGAATCTAACAGACGTCTGCTGGAACTCCAACCAGGGCAAGCCCACAGTCCTATTGCTCCGACTAAAATTCAGGTCAGAGGGCAGAAATCCAACTTTCCCCTGGATCGAACAACTATGGAAGCATTGAAAGTTTTCAGGTCTGCAGTCTGAGATGTGCCTGAAATCCTTAAAAGTAATACAATGGGTAGAGCTGTGGGCCTGGAGTCAGGAAGACCTAAATTATAATCCAGCCTCAGACACTTGTGAACTATGAAACTCTGGGCAAGTCATTTCACCTCTGTTTGCCTCAGGTTGCTCAACTGTAAATTGGGGATAATAACAGCACCTACCTCACAGGATTGTTGTAAAGATCAAATGAGATGATATTTGAAAAGCACATAGCACAGTGCCTGCTACACAGTAGTCAATACATAAATTCTTATTCCTTTCCTTCTTTCCTGGTTACCCCAAGAAAGCAGCAGCAGGGCCAGCCCAGACCTTCGCTTGAGAAATGCAAAGATCCTAGCCCTAACATAAAGTCCAAAGTCAGGAAGAAAGCTTGGAAATATGAGCAAACAAAAGAAGAATCCTGCCATAAAAAGCTATTGTGGCAACAGGGCCCTCTAGTCTAGAAGAAAAGAATGAGTCTAAAACAGCTACAACCAAAGCCTCAATGAAAAACACAATTTGCACACAAATTCAACTAGAATTTCTGGAAGAGATGAAGGAAAGGGTTTTTTTTTTAAGAGTGAAAAATGTCTTTAGAAATTAAATGATAGTGGATAGAGCATCGGCCCAGGAGTCAGGAGGATCTGAGTTCAAATCTGGCCTCAGACACATAATACTTACTAGCTGTGTGAATCTGGGCAAGTCACTTAACCCCAATTGCCTCACCAAAAAAAAAAAAACAACCAAACAAACAAACAAAAAAAAGAAATTAAATGAGAACGCTAGAGCAAAAAAAATTGGAAAGAAAAGAGTTATAAAAAAAAGAATTGGAGAGGGAAATAAGAGCTTAGCACAACTAAGTTTGGAATAGGTTGGGTCAAGATTTTGTAGGACTTAAAAGCTAAATAGAGGCATTTTTGTTTGATTATAGACGCATTAGACAACCACTGGAATTATTGAGTTAGAAAGGGATATTGTTAGCTATATACTTAAGGAAAATATTTTGGCAGCAGTATGGTGGATTGATTAGAGTGGGAAGAGGCTTGGGCAGGGAGACCAATTAGGAGATTGATGTAGTAATTTAGGCAAGAGATGAGCATATTGGAGAGAGTGCTGGACCTGGAGTTAGGAAGACCTGAATTCAAATCCAGCCTCCCACATTTACTAGCTTTGTGACCCTGAATAAGTCATTTAGCCTCTCACT